GGAGGGGGGGTCACTTTAGTTGTTGGAAATTGGAGGGGATTTTGCTGGGAGTTGCAGGGAAGTGGGCTGCCATTCGACTGGAGTTTGACTGACTGGGAAGGGACATTTTGAATGGCTGCTACTGTAGTCTTTATTTTATAATCAGTTTTTGCACGATCCTCTTTTGGACAATCATCAATACTTTTGACTAATGGTAAGAAAAAAATGCTCAAAGTGGAACACACATCAAAAAATGATTGGGAACCACTGACATAGAGAACAGCTGATGGTGGTTTAAGCTGCATTCCTATAGAGCTTCACCTGTAAAATAAACCAGACTTTATCTCCAAGCAGAGAAGCTCCTGATTAGTTTCTCACATTAGTAAATAAAACTAACTCTGCAGTTAAAATTTTTCCTCACAAAAACAAAGTTTACTGCAGCATCGGTCTACAGCCTCATAAAGTGGATGAGTTTGCGATTTGTTGCTTTTTTTGAGGCTTCTGCTTTAAAATGTAATATCTTTGATCCAACCCGGATGACAAAAAATCCTGTTCAAACTGCAGCTGTTTGTTGTGTAAAAAATTAAACCATTAGGAGGAAAAAATAAACTAAAAAAAAAACCAGCAGTGAAATGGTTACATAACTGTACTCAGCAGCCCTTTGATTAAGGTCTAATATTGAGTGTTATGGCGACCTCTGCTGGTCAAAGTTCAGACATTTTTTTTATTTAATTTTATCTGGAAACAGACAACAGTAAACAAAGCAATATGTGGAAAAAGTCCAATATTTTTCCCAGTCATCTCTGCATCTGTATGAAGCTCATGTCTGTTATGAAATCTTTAAACAGATTTTTTTTTTTTTTTGTCATTTAGATCCTTCTGTTTACGACATATAATGAAAACCCAAATTGTCTGAGAAGACATGAATACCAGGAATGAGTTCATTAATGGAAGCTCATGGTGCCACACATTATTGCACCAGCAGAGGTTTCCCGTAGTTGGTGTCTTGGTCAGTTGGAGACTGCTGACCCGTCATAAAGACAGGAGATTCCTGAAGAAGTTGGTTGTTCACAGAGTTCTGTGTCCAAGAACATTAGCAAAAATTGAGTGGAAGGAAGAAGTTTATCAGCAAAAGAGAGAATCACCCCTCTAGAAGTGGCCTGAGGCTGGAATCAGTGCACCAAGAGCCACTAATACTAGACATGTTGCTCTCCTCGTGTTCTGGAACCAGAGACGGCACCAGAGGCGTCTTACCTTAATTCTGCTTTTCCCTTGGAAATCAGGGCCTAGAGTCTGGAGGAAGAGCAGACAGAACCAGAACCACTCTGTTTGAAGTCCAGTCAGTGAGGGTTTGGGTTGGCAGAGGATCGGCCAGTTCTGGTCCTCTGAGTTCCCTAAAAAAATAATTGAACTTTATCGATCTCGCATTGGAGAAATTTACCTCTGCATTTAACCCATCCCCTTGGGGAGCAGTGGGCTGCCATCGTGGGGCGCCATGGGATCAGGATCAGATCTATGCCCTAACCACTAGGGTGCCTTTCCCTCTGAAGTCCACAGTTAATGCAGACATCTGCCAGGAAGTTTTAGATCCCTCCATTTACCAGCAGGACCTGGTTGCGCCCCACATTGGAAAGGAACCAGAATCAGGTTCAGTGAAGAACCAGCAAACCAACCATAGAGTTTATAGTAGCCTGTTGCTACGTTCGTAGCTCTATAGGTCACCACACAGCAGCTGACCGTTTTCTATCAGACAATAATGGTGAATCAGTGATGTTCAAACAATGTGAACTATCCTGTTAACCTGCAAGATGTCTGTGATCCACAGAACAGCAGGTGATTTAATTTATGCTTTTTCAGGCTTTTCATGTTGATTTTGTTTTGGCCATTAACGGGTTAAACTGAACTAAATGGAATAATAATTTGTTATTACTGCTTATTAAACCCAGCAAAATTGAAAACAAAACACTATTTGTTGGAGTTTGTTCTCATGGTTCACATCGTTCCTGTAAAAGATTCATGTTTAAACCACATTAAGGTGAATCATAAAGTACAACCATGAGCTGAACGCTTCATAAAAGAAAGGTTTGGATGTTCTGTTTCTTAACTTGATTATAAAGAATCTAAAACATGAAGGCTGGTGAGGACTGTTCTCTGATTTCACCACCAAGGTGGCGACATCATGCTGGTTTAGGACTAATGTGAGCGTAATGGTTAGGTTTAGTGTTATTTTTAAAGTTAGGGCATAGAAAGGGTTAAAAATGACAGAAAATCAATGGTAGTCAACCCATGGTCCTCTCTACATATAGCAAGATGAGAATATGTGTGATTTTAGGATTCAGGCAGCAGTCAGACTGCCTCTGCTAGAGGAGAGATGAAGAATAAAACCTGTTCTTTCTTTAAATTCTTTCTTTGCCTTACTTTGTTTCTCTGTGTCCAACAGCAGACCCGTTATGTTCTGGTGAATCCACTGTTTGATCTGAATGCAGCTTTAGAGCATTTTCTGCTGGTTTAAGGTCACCTCATGGATTTAAGGCCAACAACGCCATGATAATCTCAGATTATGATGTTCTTCTCTGATAAATAAATGCTTATTGATAGTTTAAAAGAGGTTTTAAAGTCAAATGATCCAAATAATATTTAACTTGCATGGGAAGAACATGGCTGTTGACCTCTGAGTTCTCTGGGATTTATATCCTTTTCCTTTTCATCCAAACTTTGTTCTCTTTTTGTATCGTTGTTGTTTTTCAGCTGAGGAACCAGGTGAGGAAGCTCCTCCCTGTGATCCGATGGACACCGGTACCAGTGTCCACCTGTCCTCCTCCCGGTCCTCTCCGTCTCCCACTGATGCCACCATAGATCTGACCTTCAGACCTGCAGCTAAGCGACAGTCGGTCCACCCTCTGTGTAACAGCTTCGCTCGCAGCCCTGGGACGGTTTACAGGGAGTTCACTGAAATCCTCCCAGGCGGCGATCTGAAGCCAAATATGCAGGCAGATGAAACCACAAACGACGACCTTCATCCCTCCAACCTGGCTGCTGCTGTGAAGTCAGAGGAGCCCAGCTCTGACCTCAGCCTGGACCTGGACCTGGCCTGGATGCAGGAGCGGGTCGGCCATCTTGGGGCGGCGTATGCGGTCGCTCAGCTGGGCTTGGGGAACACAAACTCTGGACACGCTTCCTCCTCTTTTCCATCGCAGCGAGAAGGAGACGCCACAGATGGCCCCCTGGCCGTCACAGGGGCCCCTCATGAAGTGTCTGCGTTTGCCTCCTCCTTTGACATGGCTGCTGTAGCTGCTGCTGCCGTCATCGCCGCTCCACGTCCTCCTCCACCCGCCTCCTCTGTAAGGACACCCAGCCAGAGGCGGCCTCCCAGGAACGGAGCTGCTTTTTCCAAAGAGCTGCAGATGTGCTCCGTTTGTCGGCTAGTCTTCCCAAACACTGCAGCGCTGGAGCAGCATCAGCAGGTGCACACGGGGGAGAGGCCTTACACCTGCCCCCAGTGTGGGAAAGGCTTCGCACAGCCTAACAACCTGAGAGTCCACCTGCTGGTCCACACCGGAGAGAGACGCTATCGCTGCACTCTGTGTGGGAAGAGCTTCATCTCTTCAAGTCACCTGAAGAGGCACCGCACCGTCCACACCCAGGAGAAGCCCTACAGCTGCTCGCGCTGCGGACAGTCCTTCAGCCAGATGTGCAGCGTCCGCAGACACCGGCAGCAGTCTCAGTGCGGCATGTAGACCGCCTGCACTTCAAGCAGACTCTAAGGGGTTAAAGTCCTACTTGTCTTCAACTGACAGCTTTAGACTTTCCTCTGCTAGACCATTACATGGGTTTCAGTGTTTTCACAGGCGTTGAACAAACGGTTTGAAGGACGGTAATTCTAGACTTAAAGACTTTTTGTTCATATTTTAAATGGACAAAGTGAAGAGATGATCGTCTTTTTATGGTATTAAAGTAAGATTTCTTCATGGGTCAGATACTCACACAATATATCAAAGGCATCAAAAATAAAAACTTGTGAGATTCTTCAAATGTCGAAAAAAACAAAGAGTTTCCTTTTGCATTTTCTGCTACAATAAATTTTATTCAGTTTAATTCTATGGAGCAAATTCACATCACATTATCTAAGGCAGGGGTCTTCAACGTTATCCAGGCCAAGGACCCCCAAACTGATGGCGAGATCGAGCGAGACCCTGATTTTATATATTATATGAAATTGTGTGGTGAAGAGAGAGCTGAGCCAAACAGCAAAGCTCTTGATTTAGCGGTTGATCTACGTTCCTACTCTCATCTATGGTTATGAGCTTTAGGTCATGACTGAAAGAACAAGCTGCTGATATTGGTTTCCTCCTTAGTGTGTCCGGGCTCTCCCTTAGAGATAGGGTGAGGAGCTCAGTTATCCAGGGAGGACTCGGAGTAGAGCCGCTGCTCCTCCACATCCAGAGGAGCCAGTTGAGGTGGCTCGGGCATCTGGTTAGGATGCCTCCTGGATGCCTCCCTGGTGAGGTTTTCCAGGCATGTCCCACCTGGAAGAGGCCCAGGGGGAGACCCAGGACACGCTGGAGGGACAATTTTCTCGGCTGGTCTGGGGACACCTTGGGGTTACCCCGGAGGAGCTGGCCCAAGTGGCTGGGGAGAGAGACATCTGGCCTCCCTACTGAAGCTGCTACCCCCGCGACCCGACACTGGATAAGCAGAAGATGGATGGATGGATGAAATTGTGTTATCTCAAACTGGTCCTATAGTCACTCTATTACAGATGGAGTAAAGTAACTAAAGTTATCCCTCCCTGGGATTATTAAAGTATTTCTGATTCCTGGTTGATGGGACAGGTGTTGTGAATGAAACGGTGCCCAGCTTGAAAGAGCTCCTGTGTGTCACTGAATGTGTTCATTGAGGACTGAAAGACATCTTCTGCCTCCATTTATCTGTTTACTACAGTGTTTTGAATTCATGTTAATGTTTATATAAAGACATTTCAGTTAGTGGAAAAAATTGCAGGGGGGCGACACCCATGTAGTACCTCCGTGGACCCCTAGGGGCAGCAGACCCCCTTTTGAAGATCCCCAATCTAAGGGATCTTAACAGAAAATTTTCAACCAGATTATCCACAGATTAAAGGTTTTATATCTCAGGAAACCAGCTGATTGCAGTGACTTTGGAGGGTTCACTCCTCCTGGATGGGCAGGTAGGGACAGTAGATATTAGATTAACTCTACAGCAATCCCTCACACTGAGCATGCTTTTAGCGACAGTGGAGAGGAAAAACTCCCTTTTAACACAAAGATACTTCCAGCAGAACCAGACTCAGTGTGAGCGGCCATCTGCTGAGGCTGACTGGGGTTCAAGATAAATTCAGACTGATCTTATTTCCCCTCATCAAACTACAGTAAACCAGGTTCGTATATTCTGCTCAATTTAAGAGCCAAAACAGGAATAACTGAGTCCACAGTGGACCAGCTGGGTTCTGCCCGCTTCCAGAACGTCTCTGGGTTTTCTCTGCATTTGTCCTCCCTGTGCTGGTGTTGATTCTCTCAGGGTACTCTGGTGTTGATGGAGGGTGACTAAGCTAAAACCTAATCTATAGAATTTAATAAATCTGAGGTAACATTTGGGATTGACTTATTTTGGGTAGATCTACTTCCACATGTTGGGTATAAGTAACTTTAAAAAAAAGTTATGATATACTTAAATAAACTGGGTTATTTTTTTTTTTTTTTCAGAACTAGGTATACATTCAACAAGCTACTTTCTCACTGAAATTAGGTAATTAATACCTGATAAGTACTCATCAAATGTCATTAAAATTAGGTAATAAACATTATTATTCAGAGAAGGTAAGACGTACCCACCAAAAGAAAGATTCATTTAAATGCTTTTAATTCATGAAATTATATATAAAACCAGAATAGAGTGAAGAACAGTTTCACATTACATTTTATGCAATAAACCTGTTTTATAACTTACTGTACCAACAACTTTAAATGTTTTTTACATAAAGTTGGACAATAAAAGACATATGTGTTTTAAGACACCCTTTCTCTAGGCTTACCCCAGGCTGGCTTCATAAACACAAATAAACAATCTGCCTTTTGCACAGAACCGGCTCTTTTAAAGATCCATGAATCATAGTTATCCTCAGAAACCACCCGTCACCAATCCCAGTGGAAAAGACTTACCTCTACGTAATATTGCTGTTTTGATACAATTAATAAATTTACACAACTATAATATTTAAGGTGAAGTTTAATGACAAATTACAGTTTTAAAGCAGTTTAAAAACCCTTTTTCTGTCATTAATGGATGGAAGTCCTGAAGGCCTGAGCAGAGCAGCTTTGTGGGATTCTACACCATCTCTTCTTCCTTAGTCTGATTCTGGAGACAGTTCCAGTCATTTGGATAACCTCCTGCCTTGTTCAAAGACCAAAGAGGGCTTATCCAACAATCCTCAGTGACTAGTGACCTGTTGCCCTGACAACCCACGCCATGAAGGTCCTAGAGAGACTTCTGTTGGTTCATCTCTGCAAACCAGCAGCTATCAGGACCCCCTGCAGTTTGCTTATCGCCGTGGAGACAGAGTTGATGATGCCATTATAAAACTGCTTCATCTAGACCAAGCAGACAGCACTATGAGGATCATGGTCTTTGATTTCTGCAGAACATTTAACACCATTCAGCCTGACTGACTTAGAGAGAAACTCCAGCAGACTCAGGTGGAGGCAGCAACAATCACCTGGATCAAAGACTACCTGACAAACAGACCAGGTTCTTAGACTGAAGGCTCAGCAGTCTGATCCAACAGTCAACAGTACAGGAGCACCACAGGGGATGGTACTCTCTCCACTTCCTCTGTTCACCTCTGACTGTCAGGACAAGACAGAGTCCTGTCATCTGCAGAAATACTGGGATGACTTTGTAGTCATGAGAGCGTCAAAGATGGACCAGAAGCTGCGTAAAGAGAGCTGGTGAAGTGCTTGGTGGCATGGTGTGGAAACGATCATCTGATCCTGGATGTGAATTCAGCAAATTAAAGCAAAAGTTGTTTCTACCACAAAGATATCAGACAGGAGAGAAACGAGATAAATACAATAAAAAATATTATTAACTGATACTTGATTAAATGATAGCTTAAAACAAAGGACTTTTCTTACTTTTTTATAGAGAAACAATAAAAATAGACTTGATTCAGGCTCATTTATTTCTATTGCACTGTCAGGGTTTGGTGGATGTTGCTTGAGGACCCAAATGCAGAGATAAGCAGGCAGGGATGAGTTTTTGCAGATTTAACCAAAATCCCAAAGGCAACAGAAGCAAACTCCAAAACAAGAATAATGAAAACCAAAAATTTAGGAGACATCGTGGAAAACACATGTGGGAGCAAAGAAATGACAAGGGACCAGCAATGATGAACTGCAGAGGTGGTGTATATAAAGGGGAACAGAACAAAGAATGGATTAATCAGCTGGTATTGACTGTATGATCTGGTTGAACTTTAAAGTGCCTTGAGATGACATGTGTTGTGAATTTGGCGCTATATAAATAAACTGAATTGAAATTGAAATTGGTATGGAGCAGGCATGGATAGAAGTAACTAGAAGGGATCTAGGGGAAAGGAGACAGCCACAAGAGGGGAACAGAGAGTAACTCATGAATCACGACGCTTAAAAATAAGAAAACAACTACAATGACTCATAATGAAGAAAGAAACCAGAATGACATAAATTAAAATGTAAAAGAAACTCAAAAAGTCCACAAAGGGCAAGATCATGACAGGCGCCAATTCAGAGGATGTCATTGCGAGGCGCTATACAGCGACAATTCAACAAAGATGAGAAGAGAATGACATTGATTCTTCCTAGATGCTATAGATTTCCCCGAAGAGTGAAAAACCGAAATAAATGCTTATATCTTTACTCAAATTTAGAAGCAATAAAGCATTGGTGTGAATTCCAATCTGAATGACTCGAGAAAAAAAAAAGATCACCTGAGTCTTGCATAAAAAATCAGTCTGTTGTCTTAGACTGGGATTGTTCCGGCTTTCTGATTAGAGGCATCTAGTTCCTGGATAATCAGGAGGAAAAGGATCGGCTCGATGGTGGGACATACAGCAATGAACCAAGATGGTAAGATATTTACAAGCACTAAGAATAAGAGCAAATATTCCTTTCCAGACAGTTGGCTAATTAGATGGTCCTTATGAGATCTACTGCCGAAAATACTTTTTATGGAGCTGGGAATGTTTGGATCAGGCTCAACGATCATCTGG